TGCATTATGTGTCACATTAATGCCATGAAACGCAGGTAATATTTACACAGACTTCAGGGAACAGGTACAATGCCTTCGCTCAGATCCCTTGCATGTGTGGAGGAGCCAAAGCCAGGCTGCTTCTTCCCCCCTGCGCCCGCAGCCATCAGCTGTGGTCTGTCCACCTGCAAAGCAGGTAGCGATGTGGGAACCTGGCTGGTTTGCAAGGCTGAGCACCCCTTTTTAGAGGAGCAGTGTGGGAATGAATCCCTTGGGATTGGGCACTGGGTAATTCCTGGTGCTAATGTGGCACATACGGGGGAAACGAATATTTAGGAGGCAAGGTTTTTCCTGCCTGCTCCCAACTGAAAATGCAGCACTGCATTGTAGCGCCTGTCACCAGTAAGTGCTGAGCAAAGGGATTTGGATTTGGATCTGAGCATATGGCAGGAGCTGGTGTTGAGTGTTTGGGAAAGGGCCGAGGACGTGTGCGTTGAGTCCTGCTCTCATCCTGGTCTCTCCTGCTCCAGTTCATTCATTGATCCTTTTCCTTTTGATGCTGCTGTCAAAACCCATAGGTATAATCAGGAGAGAAGCGCACCAGCAACATAAATACTACAAAAATACCTTGGACTGAAAAAAAAGAGGTAATGGTGTTTTTTTGGAACAATATTAATTTCTTGAGTTTTCGATGCTGAGGTGTCTCTCAATTGGCAGAGGAGAGCAGCTGTTATGTGCCTCCACTGCCAGCTTGCTCGCTGCAGTGCCACCTTCTGTCTTGGTTTTGGCATCTCTAATCCCTCCTGCTGTCTGCACTCATATCTGTTCTCTGTCCTCATGAACACCTCACAGTCCAACTTGTCAAACAGAAAAGTGATATTCTTGCATCTTTTTACCAGCCCTGCCAGTCCTCTCATCTCTGACTCAGCCACCTCCTCCCTGGTAGCCTGAGGGTGCCAGCTTTAGTCTGGCCAGGTTTCCCGCATCTTCCTTGCCCCGCTGCTTCCCATCCCGGCCATCTTCAGGACTCTCGGGAGAGTAGGACTTGGGGAAATGCACAGTGGCATTTAAAACACTGGTCAAACAGCCACTTCCCCCACCCTCAGTCCATTTCTCACCTCTGGTGTAACAACAATAATCCTAAATATTATTGGTTTGTTTGGTTTTCTTTAAAGGCTTATTGTAAGGTTACAATGTGTGGGCTGGGATTTCCTTTTCTTGCAAAACAAAGGCAGAGCTGCTTGGGAAGTCTGGCTGATGCTGTGGGATGCTCTCTGGAAGGGATGTGGGGGACAGACCTTGGTCTTTCAACCCAGGGCTATTGGAGGTTGCAGGGACTTGGGGTCAGGTTGGGGTGCTGGCAGCAAGCGCTGTTGGATGCGCTGGTGCCACAGGTGTTTCGGGGCCACCGGAGGGGAGGGAGGTAACCTCGGTGCGGGTGGCCAGTGGGGTAGCGAGTGACCTGTATTATAAAAAAGCCAGGTATGCACAGCTCGGTGTTTATCCCCTTCTTGCACAGCAGCGCTTGGATGCAAGGCAGCACCAGGTCTTTGGGGGCTGAGTTAAATGCAGGTTTGACATAAAAAAAACCCAACAAAACATAGTAATTGTTGGAGGTGCCTAAAAAAGGTTGACAATGTGAACTCATATCTGGCCGGGGACAGGGGTATAATTTTGTCGCAGGTAGAGAGGAAAATACGTCCCACGGTATCTGCAGCAGGGGTCGGGTAGGGAAGAAGAGAGAAAACATCTGCCGAAGGTGTGTGCATGCGTGAGAGTGAGCGGCTTGACGGTGCCCGTCTTGAGACCGAGGGGCTGTGGGGAGAGCAGTGGGGCTGTGAGGAGAGCAGTGGGGCCGGGGCAGCACCGGGGCCTCCCTGCATGGAGGGCAGGAGGAAGGAGAAAAAAGATGCTTGTCGCACTCAGCACCTGCGTGGTCCTTGCACAGTCCTCACAGGGCAGACGCACATCATCCCCTGGCTGGTAATGATGGGGGGAAAAGGCAGGAGATTTTGGAGGATGAAATTAAGCAGGCATCCACAACAGCAGACTGACATGTCTGGTTTCACAAGATGCTCTGTCGAGCTGTGGTGGTGTCACAGCACGGGGGATGCTTTCTGGATGCTGTTGTCTGTGGATGATACATCTCGGGCAAATTCAGATAATCTGCAGTTTAGAGCCCTGGCTCAAACCTGACCCTGCTCAAGTTTCCTTAAGTCACTTATTTTGCAGCACCAGCGTCTCCTGTGAATCCCTGTAAACCTGCAGCCCTTGCCATGTCCCCTGGGCTGTGCCCCCACCTCTGGAAATTTGGGTCCCTGCACCAAGGGGCCATTGCAGGTGACTGTGGTTTGCCAGGGCTTTACAGCACAGCAGACCAGGAGCAGTTTGCCACTGAAGGCGAACCATGTTTCACAGGCTTCCCTGCCACGGCAGCTCCCCGGAGTGGGGCTCTGCTGCCTGACGGCATCTTTCTTCTACCCAGGGCAGCAGAAACACCTCCTCCCACTGCAGGAGGACATGCAAATGCTCCTCGCAGAGCTTCAATGCCGTCATTTACACTTCCCCCCCAATAAAACACCCATAGGCACCCTCCTCCTGGCCCCCTTGCCCTGTAGCCATGCCCATCATCCGCGGCTTGGCTGTGGGAAGAACCCAGCTTGCAGAGCAGAGACTCATTGCTTGCTTCAAAGCAACCTATTTGCACCTGTGGCATGTTTTTATCAGCAGAGAGGGGGTGCTGCGGACACGGAGGATTTAGCAACAGCCAAATACAGGCAAGGAAGTCGCCTTCCTTCTGCCCAGGCTGGGGCAGAGGGAAAAGCTGGGTGTACGGCTGGGGCGTGCTGGTCCTGTCCTAATCCGCACGGGCAGAGAGGTGCGGTTGCACTGTGTCAGGGTGTGTGCATGTGTGCACACGTGGAGGTTTGCAAATTCCCCCTCATATTATCTGTGAGTGAGTAGGGGCAATCTGCGCTGCTGGCTTACTGCGTTGTTTGGAGTAGATAATCCATGCTACACCAAGGAACCCTGGGGTATATGTGGTGCGTGTATATGTATTCATATATATAATTGCATTTACTTGCCCATGCATATACGTGCCCATACACATGTGTACCTGTTGTTGCCTGTGTTTTCCAGAGCAGAGGTGTCATCCCCTGGCCAGCAGCTGGAAGAAGCACTGGGGGTGCTACACTCCCTCTGTGCAGGGGGTGGGATCTTCCCTGCACACCTCCATTTAGTATTTCCCTTCTCCCTTGCACAAGTGCATGTGTGGACACGAAAATAGGCATGTCCTCTCCTTCTAGCATGGTGTTTTGTGCTCCTGCCCCGAAGCGCAGGGGAAGGCTGAGTCCCAGCAGGGGAATGGTCCCACGTGGGTTTCAGCACCCTGGCCCATGGCACAGGGCAAACACCACTCTCAAGTGCACGTGTTAGGAGGATGCCATCCCTGGGATGGGGTCCGGTGCTCCGCGTGGGTGACGCTGTAGTTATTTGTGTGTGTCACGGCGGGAAGTGTGTGAACGGAATAAATTTAGCAGTCAAAACACAGGGCCAGTGCAGTCGGTCATTAACTGCGAGCCCGTCTCGTCATCCTGCAACCACAAGGAGCTTTTTTAGGGTCAACATCCTGGCGGAGGCCGGAGGAAGCGTGGGAGGCCAGTTCCCGGTGACACCTCCGCGCGTGGTAGCGCTGCCCGCCGGTGCCATTGGCTGCCCCCTGCCCGGGGCTGGCGCCAGACAGCGGGTAAACTG